AATCCTTCATCTTCTGGGTTTGTCCTCCGAATCGTGAGGGGGATTAAATTGTTATCGCGTTTTAGCTCCAATGTTGAGTCAGAAAACTCTGGTGCAAACTAAGGTTTTGTCAATTCGACCAGTGTCACAATTAATGTCAGAGTCTCTCCAGCATTTTGCTTGAACCAGTAGAGCTCTCTACTGCCATACTCAATATTAGGCAGAGCACACGTGAAGGTCACAGATTCACCAAGAGGAACTGTAGTCACTGGAACCAGCGTATCTGAAATAAATGACAGAATACAAACCGTGAAACATTAAATAACAATTAGTGTACAATATTTATCATGCACAAACAAAGTTTAGTTACATTATGTATCTAGTGTGCATGGACATTCTTAACAGGATACTTGCACTTACAGCCTTCGTGAAGAACAAGCAGTGTTACCCATAAAAGCAGCATCTTGATATTGTATTTTGTTAGAGAACCCTTTGGTATTTGAGTGGTTTTAAAGTATAAGTCACATGGTCACTAGTATGTATGTCAAACTGTCAAATGCATCTGATTGGTTTTCACGGAATAAAGGTTCAAAGTTGCCCTTCCTGTAACGCTGGTCCCTCCCTAGTCTTTTTGAAGCATTATTCTTCTCAATTCACCAAACGCATTTGAGCACTTTCAATAAAGATTAGAGGTAGCATATTGCCTATGCAGTTATACTTGAATATATCGTAAACCTTTGCTGACAGTATTGGACAACACATGAAATGATAATAAATACAACTGAGGAAATTACAAGATACCATAATACAGTTTTAAACTGTCTCGATCAGTCTGACAACCTTTCTAAAATCTGCTCCAATTCACATCACTTAGAGCACTATTGGATTGGCAGCCTCTCCACATTAATGATATTGTCTACATGTTCATCTGCAATATTTTAAAGGAGAGGTGTCATGGCCATTTCCACTGATCATAATTCCATTGTTCAGGTATACTAAAATAGATTTAAACTGTGCATTTTTCCAAACTCACATTGGTTTCGCATACAGCATCTCTGTAAACTACTTCACTGAATTTCACTCTCTGCCTTTAACGGCTCGTTGTAGCTCCAATAGCTCCAGCCCCCACCCTCCCTGTGAGCACAGTGTGCTCTGATTGGTCGGGACGTTGTGAATTGCGCTGAGCTCCGTGGAGGTGTTGTTTCCTTGTTTAGGATACATAGCGAAACACAGCCAAACTAATCCTGAGCACACACAAACTCACATCCGAAGTAAAAACAATAAGTGTGGCTTGATATTGAGTAAGAAAAAGGTTGATAAACGCTGTGAGAATGGGTCTGCAGAGAGAATTTCGCCGCGATCCCAACTGTCTGTTATCAGCCTGCAGCCAGAGAGGAGAAATCAGCTGAGCTGCCTGCTCCCTGCACACAGATGTGTGTGTGAGGAAGTCTGTGGATTGGTCAATTTGGACCAATCAGCGGGGGCTTAACGTAACTGCTCCGCGGACATAACGTAACGGCTCCACGGATTGGTCCATTTCGTTCCGGGTACGGCTTGACATCATGCCGTTCCGGAAGAATCAAATGGACAATGACGTATCTCCAACGAGGCGTTTTGGGGAGTTTGTTAGAGTTTTACTCGCTATAGGGTGTACTTTGAGGGTTTTGACTCTGCACACTGTTTACATGCATAAAAACCTTCATAACACACAAGGGGACGGGTAATAACCGGAAAAGCATGACACCTCTCCTTTAACATAAAGATTAATTATAGTTAAATAAGTAACAGTAGTTCAAAATGTGTGTCCCAATGTTGCAGAATAGAAGAGCATACATTTCTTTGCAAATCTACTTAAGAGTAAAAATGATACTGAAAATAAACTATGATTACGTTCTATTTGTTTATATGGAAAAATAAACTCAAGTACTGTACATGAAACAGGAATTGTAATGCGTTACTAACTAACTGGCTGTAATGAAATAAGAAGTGTATTTACCTTCAACTTTTACAGATGGAGCATCTTATTTCAGACTCCAGCTTACTGCTTCCTGCCTACTACCTGCCAGTTACCTGCCTAAGACCTGCCAAAGACCAGTATCTGGGAATGTTAAGCCCTCCCACTATTTTCCAAGAGGGCGTTGCCAGATTTTCAATTTCAGGATTTAACCAGGAGATGGCGCTTCCTTCACAAAAACAGGAAGACAACTTTCATGGACTTTCAGTTTTGTTTAGAAGAGCATTTGAACACATCAATATTTTAGATCAAATGAAGTATATCTAATCTTGTAATAATATATAGTCTTTATATATTAAATAACTATGGCCAAACTAAGACTTAGTTTTTCACAAGAGAAAATGCAGATATTATATAAAAAAACTAAAGTTAAAATCTTGTTTTTAATGCCCCAAGAGCAATAAAAACACTTGGTAAAAAGATCCTGAGTGAGGCTTTCATAAATTGCATTTAGCTGATGCTTTTATCCAAAGCGACTTACTATTTAATAAATGATAAATGATTATTCATAACAAATATGAGTGATGTGTGATTATTATTCATGCTATATACTGATATAGGGCTAAGTAAGCAATCAATCCTGCAAATGAACCCTTAGTTGTTCAATATATTTATTCAGACAATGTGAGTAGAAATACAGAAATTCTGCTCCTACCTAAGGCCAACGTTGCAATATTACAACGTTTCCCTAAAACCTTACCAAACGTAAACATTTTTAAAACTCTTTTCTGCTCCAGAGGCCAGGGGTTAAATTGGGATTTGTAAGCGAACCGGGCCGTTGGCGTCCGGCCGTTCTGTGATTCTCCAGAACTCATAGCTGGCCAGGGATAAGTCCCGACTCTCCCGACGGCCAGTCCGTGCCTCCCCTGACTGCACACTGCTGACACACACCGCTGCAAACTCTCTGCACGGAGGAGCCGCGGAGGAAGAGACACACGTTCACTAAGCCGAAAAAACTATATCCGGTCACAGTGATCTGCTATTTTAAAGTAAATTCAACACATATCAACCCTAAATATAGCATATATATATACACTGTGCAACTACAGTTGATCTGTGTGTCTACAAAGAAAGCTTTTCATTTGCTAAATGCTGATGTAGCTATTTGGATTACTTTTGAAGATGCAGTTGGGAATATTTCCTCAACCCTGCTTTGTTATTTTCAGAAAAGTGAAACTTAAATAGGCCTATAAAATGATAGAATTGAAAAGAGTCTTGAAAAAGCATGGTGATGGCAATAAATGCATTAATGAATCCCCAAAATCTACAGAATACATTTAATTTAAGGGGAGCAGTTACTGAGAAGTATATAATGAGAACTGCTACCAATGGTGGCCTATTTAGTTTATTAAGAAATACATATTTTTAGCTTTTTTTGATCTGCAGTAGGAAATGGAGCGGACCTGCAGAGAGTAGCGACAGAGAAGGGCTGGTCCAACCTGATCTGTAAAGTGATCTAACTAAGTTCTATTCATATTCTTGACGGGAAGTGCAGTGTAAATGGGGGGCCTATATGCATTTGAAAAGCAATATAAATCACACAGTTAGTATACAATAGGCTTTAAAAGCACCATTGATAACCATTGTTCTTCTCCTATTCAAACCAAAAGAGAAAATGCAGATATTAATACTCCTAAAATAAATGGTAGACATATCAAATTGTTTCCTCTTTGTATTTGTTTTATAATTTTCTCATCTGTGATGGATAAAGAAAGTAATCCAAAAGTAATCTATATTCTGTATCTGTAACTGTATTCGGATTACTTTCAGAGCCATGTATTCAGTAATCAGTAACTGATTACATTTACAAAGTAACCCTCCCAACCCTGTTCATATCGCAATATATTCCAGAAGTCTGAAATGCAAAATGTTAGAAATTAAAATCAATGTTTAATAGCATTATTTAGTCTAAAACATACCGTCAGTTTAAAAGCTGTTTTATTGTGAAAAACCCGGAAGTTCTCATAAAATCTCAATGCCAAGCTTTTATTCTGAAAATCCTTCATATCCAGTTAGTATTGACAAGCATGTGGCTAATATTACGTTTTCTGAATGTGAAGTAAAAATGACACGGAATGTTGCACACCAAAACCTACTGACTTTAACTACATCTATAGACGTCGAGATATTATTACTGATGAATATTAAATGAAGGTACCGTTGATCGTAAAGTGTTTTCACATACGTGGGTAGCTATGACGTCAGAAGGAGTTACCGTAAATGAGAGCTAACCGGCAGACCCTTGCCCCAATTGTGGCTGAAATACAAGTTTCATATATACATAACTAACAGCATGGGTTAATGTTGATGGTCAAATGAGTGACATGTTGTGTATTTTAAGAATTATTTGCGAATAGCTTTACCATATTTATGCCTCAGACTTTGCGCAACATCTAACAGTTACACACATATAACAATTTGAGTCATGTAACCAAAGTACTTTTATTTAAAAAAAAAAAAGGTTATACAATGATTTTAAGCAGATTGGACATAATTTCAAAATGATATATATATATATGTTTGTTACAGGTTATAACATTTCTCCAATTTCTGAAAGTGAAGCAACATATTTACAACATTGTAAGTGTGATGGAAACTTCCGAAGCAATGGAGACGAAACTCAGAGAGACACTGGGTGAGCTGGAACTTTGATGGCAAACACTGATGGTTTATTATGGAGTTACGGCCGGAGAACTGACAAGACATGTGCTGCCGCCACGAAGTGACACAGCGGTTGCCAAACCAACTCTGAAGATCTCTACCCCAGACCCATGTATTTAGCTGGTTCTGAGAGAATAACCAATATTGTGCATAATAAGATAAAACAGGCAAAGCACTAAAACACCTCTATCAGCTGGAATAGGGAGACAAAAACACTGAGAGCACAGCAGCCCAAGGTTGCAGGCCTGTGCTCAGTGAGGGCAGTACAAACTGACTGGGTCAAAGGTATGAGCCTAGGAACATATTTCCCCAACAGTAAGCTTTAATCAGAAAGTCCAGTATATTGTTAGTCCATCACTAAAGACCTGACATCGGTGTAGATCGTCTCTCCCTCTGCTGATTTTGTATTCTTCCTGTCTGCTCTGCCAGTTTTCCTCTTGGTGAAGGTTGGTGCAGAATAAGTTATTGAGTCCTCCTCTCTCTGCAAAAATATATGGAAAAATGTTTGAGATGGGATTAACATGTAGAAAATAAAATGAGTCAACAACTTTTTTCAGTCACATCTTCTCTTTTTGACCGTACCTGCTGCCTCTGCTGATCACTGCTGGCTGGTACGGGATTTGTTTGGAGAGAAAGAGAAGCTGTATTTTGAAATAAAATAAATGTGATGACACATGATGTTGGTACAATTATTCCTTTGTAATGTAAATATAATGTAAAACAGTGAGCTTTGCCAAATAACTGTCTGATAGATTGACTTATGAGAAACTTTATTTACCGTTGCAACAATCACAAGTTTTCATCATGATAGCATAAATCAGGAAGGCGATAACAATCAGACTTATAGCCAAAGCAGCAGCTAACAGAAGCAGAACTACGATGGCCTTCTGCTGATCCCCCATCTTAGGTGCTAAAATCATGGAGAAAAGGAGCAAATGTGAAAAATCACAATGCATGTAAATTGGATTTTGGTTTATAAGGGTTTCCACCGGATCCAAATGAATGATTATTCAAGATGTGTAAATGCATTGCAGTTACCTTCAATGTCCAGTTTTGTTCCATGTCCAAATAATATCTCCCCACATGTGGCCACAGCACAGTAATAAGTCCCAGCATCAGAGGAGTTGATGTTTTTAGAGAAGTTGTAGATACATTTCCGTGGAGAGCTAGTCTCAGGACTATTCTCACAATCATCTCCACTGTTTTTATGGCTGTAAATGACACTGGGATGAGATTCATCTGATCCGGCTCTGAACCAGTACACTCTGGTTTCTCCTGGACAAGTTTTGCTCTGAGATTCAGAGAGGACTGTACACTGCAGAGTCACCAAGTCTCCTGGAAGGACCGGATCAGACTGATGGCCTTGAATAATGGCAGTGATATCTGGTTCAGGGCCTGGAAATATAAATATATAGATAAAGGATACATTTTTAAAGAAAGGTGAAATCTATGTTTGCTGTATTTCATTTCAGAAATCAGAAATCATTCACGCATTTCCCTCTGAGGTAATTTACAATGTTACCCCGCAAAGGTTCAGTAAAGATAAAAGACAAAAATAGTAAGCTACCATATTAAACAAAAGGGGTTTAGTAGATAACACAGTAAGAAAGTAGTAAAATACAATTATGTTATGTAGCAAACAGTAATAACAAAGATAAACAGTATACATGATTTACCTTTAACTCTCAGAAATGTCACATTCAAAAATGTCATGTCAAGTTTGTATACTGTTAGGCAGTAGTAAACTCCAGTATCGCTTGGCTCTGTTTTACTTATTTGCAGGAGAAAGGTTCCATTCCCTTGTTTTGCTGTAATGCGAGGAGTCTTGTCAACACCTTTATAATCAAAAGAAAATGTTCCTCCCAAGACTTCAGGGACGTTTCCAGGACCATGCCTGATCCAGAACATGTTTGTTGGATCCAAGGATTTCTGGCGTGAACAAGTCAAAGTCACATCATCCCCAAGACTAACAGTGTTTGTCTCCAAGATCTGTTTGTGTGTGCATCCTGAAAAATATAATAAACACACAGATGATTGATTTGTGATACATTAAGAATAATTAGCACACAGCTGAATCATTATCAGAACATGACAATTCATATACTATATCTCAAGTCTAGATACTTACGCCCCACTCCAAGCATCAGCAGTAAATAAACTATGATCAGCATTTTCTGGTCAATCCACTTGTGGCTGCCGGTAAATGAAATTGTATTAGAGTAGATTCGCCTTAATGTAATCATATGAAGTGGGAGGTTACAATTTTAGAGCAACCTGATTGGCTTCTCCTTATTTCATTACCACCACAGTGGAAATGATATCACTCTTTGTTCCAACCTAAACACATGAAACAAGACCAAAAGCAAGCTTCTGTTTTTATGTTTCATGTTTGTTTTCCTTTAACTGCACAGAGCGTAAACACACACAACAGAACAATCGAAAAAAACCTCTTGATTTTCTTTTCATGTCCAGATGGACTTTTTTGATGGGGTGCAATATTGCCACTGTCCAGTATGATATACACATGAGTGGCAAACAGGCTGTCTGAGGAGCTAAGCAAACAAATACCTTTTGAAGCCACTTAAATGTGTGTTTACCTATACCATAGTGTTTACTTTTGACCATCGAGCAATTGTGTTACCAGGATTAACTTAAGAGAACAACATTAACATAATTATAATAATATGTGCATACTTCCGCCAATTGTAAAAAAGAAAGCTGTTTAAAATATGATCAGCATTTTCTGGTTCATTACATTACATTATTACATGTCACGCTTTTACCCAAAGCGACTTACATACACTCAATACTGTGGGCAATCCCCATTAGACATTACAGCACCAGCAGTTAGGTTTTTGACATGATTCATTGCTAAAAAGAACATGCTTAAAGCCAATTTCCTGGTATAACTCCCATAACGCAACATTTTTAAATACGTTTCCTGATATAATATGCCTAGGTATTTTAAACTTGATCCCTCCAGTTTGTAATGGTTGCTCCTTTAACAAATGTGTTTGATGGATGTAGTGAAATAATGCAGAAAAGTCCATTATGAATGTATCCAAAGTAGACCAGTTTAAGAACCGCCACTTATTTGATAAATGTGTAAGCATACACACTAAAGGAATTGAAACTGAAACTTCCTGTGATCCTGCGCTCTCTAGCAAATTATTAACTCTTACACTTTCAGAATTGGGATTGGATTAGATTCCAAGGATGTAGCAACATGTTTAAAGTTTGTCTGGATTTCTGAACGGGATTCTTGGAAGTGATCAAAACCTTTCTCATTTGCTAACTGCCATATTTTCGTGAAAGTAAAATGATTAATTAAAAATATATATTTTTTTAGAATAGCTGAATATTCATTATAAAAAAAAGGTACTAATACCATTAACATTTCAATATAAATGCATAATTTGTAAAATGTATAGGCCTGTGTCTCTAGGACTTATAACCACATTGTTGTTGCCATTTATTTAAACAGGCATGTATCTTTTTGATTTGTGTAGACATAGAAAATATAAGCTGCCATTTGCCACATTGAGAAGGACAGAGGAACCATCTTAAATACTGTGCATACCAGCCAATTGGATGCTCCACGTCATAAATGATGAACACCCCCTCTGCCTGTCAGTCACTTCAGCAGGAAGAGCACAGCACAGAGTTGGGCTGTTAAACCATTCGTCCTCGACAATACACTTCATTTCAGAGAGCTTTAGAGAGCAAGAAGCAGAGCGACACTCTCAGAGTATCAAAGGAACACATTTGTCCTGAGACGATTTAAAGTTTCTCTCCTGTATATTTTTTCCCTGGGAAGAGAAAACTAACGTACACCAAGGAAACAAAACAGATAAATTAAACCGACTATTTACAAGGCGCTTAACATAAAACAATCCTGTACCGCTATAGTGTCTGTGCACTCTTACACTTGTGACACTTATTAAAGGAACACCTATCAAGATAATGCAGTCCAGTAAAACTCCCCACACATCATTTTTACAAAAAATAAAGATTTAGGGTTTCTTGACAACTCAAAAGGTGTATAGAGAATATAATAAGAAATATAAATAGCTTATCTATCTATATGGCCAACATTTCCAGAACATTTGTCAGAGCTGCAGGTTGTGGTTTGTGGCTTTCTTCAGGGTCAACAGTTGTTGACAACAAGCCATAACATGCCTTGTACTTTCACACAAACAGTCAGATATAAATGCATTCACACTGACAACCAGATGATGCATGGAAACTTCAGCGCGGCTGTGGTTGGGCTTCACACTTGTGTGAATACAGGTGTGAATACAAAGGGGCGCTTGTACCTTTCTCATTCTATAAACCTCAGGAAGCTGGGCTTGCACTGCTGTTTTACTTATTTTTGTTTCAAATGGCAAGTGGAATACCACTAGTCACACACTGTGATGATCCTTTTTAATGTAACCTTACTGCAAGTTATTGCCTTTTATCTGTAGTTGCAGTTAGTCAGGGGAGGTGCCCATAATTTCCTGGTTCGACCCCCGTCTTTCAGTCAAAGAAGGAATTTCAACCGTGATCTAACATGGTGATATAATTGCAGCCTGTCTAATTGAATGTTTAATTAATAAATACAGTTAGATTGTAAATTAGATAGATGCTTTTGCATCTTTAGAAATAATCTTGATAGACATGTTTTTACTTTAAATGAGCATGTGTAAAACTAAAACAATGATGAAGCATGCTGAAGTGTCATGTAGCTCTCACTTCACTTCACATCCTGTTGAAGCCCATAGTTCTGAGTAACAGCCTTGATGCTTGGTCAAAGGGCGGAGAGATGGCCCACCACAACGCATGACTCTCAGTGTAGCTGCTGCATGTGGCTTTGCTTCTTGTTCTGAAGCACAAGGTCTTTACAAAGGGATGTGAGATATGAAAGGTGGAGTGCTTGATTCTATTAAGTAGTTGCCTTCTGACTTTCTATTTTGTATTTAGAACAACAAACATTGTCTTTTGCAAATAAAGATCAATTGTGTGTCAATCACAAAATATGTCCCATGTCAGCCATGCTTCGGTCTGTTGTATGTATGCTGTGTAAAATATTATACACCACTTCTTTCTCAGTGGAAATTGTCCACAGGTGTAACGATAACATGGTTATTTGCAATAAAAAAGGGCATGGCCTAGTCCCTTATGTCACTGGTTTTACTTGTGCTTATCCTGCTATAATGGATTGAAAAAGTAATTGTTAGGGTTAAAACCTGACACATTTGGTATGATAGAGAATCACAAATGGTCAAGACTGGTTGTAGGACTATAACGTTTACAGAAATACAGGATGCACAAAATCATATAAGGGCAAAAAAGGAAAAACGTTGAGTTCTCAGTCAAATCTAAAATACATGAAGGCATGCTTTGGAGTTCACTGCCAATAAAGCAAGTTTTTGGTGTTTAAAAACAAAAAATCAGTGATACTCTACAATATTGTTCAACTTGAGAAAATGACAATGCTCTACCTTACAGAGAGCACTATCTCAACACATACTTTAACCTGTAAGTTCTTCACATCTCTTGGTTTTGGTGATATTTCCTCTCACCTCTCCCCTACAGCTTTCTACCACCTACACTGTGGCTATTGTAATGTTATGGAACAAAACAGCTAGCCTACATAGAGTGAACAATACAGCATTGCGTTTTCTGTGACCATATGGAATCTGCAATGTACTTGATAAAAACAGATGAGTTTGCTAGCTAGCAGTCGTCATGTTCCCACATTGCTTTCCTGGTGTGTTACACTATTAACCACAGCCATCAGTCTGTTGAATAGAGTGACACTGAAATAATGTCTCTGTGTGTGTTGTTTGGTTCTCATGATGGTATGATTAAAACCATATTCGTAAAATGTGTCAACAGGGTTTTGCTTTTTAAATCGGTCCTGTACTTCTTAGCTAAGCACCAAAAACTGAAACAATATTTCATTGTCTAAATAAAGGGGCTTCTTTGAAAAAAGAAAATCTCAGAACATAGAGATTTCTGATCGAAAGAAAATGGTCCACAGGTTTTAAATGTAGGGGGAAGGTCATTTTATACATTTCAGCCAATCACTACAATTGCTACTTTGTAGATGTTGACGTTCTTGTGAACAAACCTTAATTTGGTTGGAAAGACATCAGTCGCGTGAGAGGACAGAGCTGCACCACAATGATCGGTCAACTGGCTGCTTTGATTCTTCTTTGTACGATGTGTAAGTGCAATTCTTTACTCCTGTATGAAAGACCATTTGATGATCTTAAAGATGATCTCCTCCAATAAACCTTTTCTTTGTCTTTTTTCTTTAGCTCTGATTGAATCGGCAGAGGATCCTCACCTGATCTCTTTGGATGTGGTAGAAGTTGGTAGAAGTTTTACTTTTCAATGTCCAGTTTTGGAGATCGTAGGCAAACTATATTCCTTGTACAAGCAGTCTCTTGGACAAATGGCCCAGCCAGTTTTTAACGTGATTTTTGGCAAACTAACAGTTATTGAACCTTTTTTAGACACACGGTTCACAGCAACAAAAGAGGATACTCATTATCTTTTCACAATCAGAAATGTCAGAAAAGAGGACGAAGCAACATATTTCTGTCTCACTGGATCGACGTATTCACAGAGTTTTGGCATTGGCATCTTCTTGGCTGAGAATGGTAAATATCTATTACTTTCAGTTATTGTGTCAAGTCTCATGTCATACAAATAATTTATATAATTTGATGTTTTTTTTTACTCAATGACACAGATCAGCAGAAATCTGTCTACGTGAAACAAAGTCCGGAGACCAAGTCAGTCCAGAACGGCGACTCAGTGACTCTCCAGTGTTCACTTATCTCCAAAAACAACGAAAGCGCAGATCAGTGTCCAGGTAAACACCATGTTTCCTGGTTCAGGTCTGGATCAGGAAAATCCCATCCAAGCATCCTTTACACTCACAGTGAGGAACAAAAGGAACGCAGTTGTGTCTTCAGTCTGTCCAAAACTATACACAACTCCTCTGATACCGGGACGTATTACTGTGCTGTGGCTACATGTGGACAGATCCTGTTTGGAGAAGGAACTACAGTGGAGACAAGTACGTTTTTAAATTCTTATTTAAATGTCATTTTAATGTTTATTAATATTAAGTCTATAAGTGTGTTTATATAGGGGGATGAAGTACGAGCTACAACTACACTGATCAGCCATAACATTATTACTACCTGCCTAATATTGTGTAAGACCCCCTTTTGCGGCCAAAACCGCCCTGACCCGTCGAAGCATGGACTCCACTAGACCTCTGAAGGTGTGCTGTGGTGTCTGGCACCAAGACGTAGCAGCAGATCCTTTAAGTCCTGTAAGTTGTGAGGTTTGGGCGTCCATGGATCGGACTTGTTTATCCAGCACATCCCACAGATGCTCAATCGGATTGAGATCTGGGAAATGTAGAGGCCAAGTTAACACCTTGAACTTGTTGTTGTGTTCCTCAAACCATTCCTGAACCATTTTATTGTTTGTGTGGCAGCACGTATTATCCTGCTGAAAGAGGCCACTGCCAACAGGGAATGTTCAGTATATTCCCTATTGGCTATATTAGTTACAAAACGTTTTTTGCCAATGTACCATCCCATCTTATGAAATTATTATAGACGTCCAAGTCAATATCTGTTGTTATTTGATTATAGGAAGGAAATGAAGGCGTGCAGGTTCAAACATCGATTGCTGTATATATCATAGGTTAGCTTATGATCAATCCAAGTGGTTTAAGTCACTGTTGTTTAAGTGTTTGATAGGGACGTTTGCATATTAAGTGTTGATTAGACGTCAAATTCAAATCAAATTCAAATAAAATCTAGAGTGATTATAAGGAAAATAATGACACTAAATTAAAATCTTCTTTGGTGGTGGTACATTTTCTTTTATTCTAACTAATTGTTATTGCATTTTCCTTTTCATTTTTCAGGAACCGTCTCACAGACAAGCGATGTATTTCTGCTTCTGCCATCTGTGGTCTCGGCTATTAGTGTGATTGTTATAGCCATCCTTATTCACGCCATCAAGAAAAACAAGTGTGATTATTGCCATAATAAAGGTAAAATAAGTTACCTCACTAAATAACAGATTATTTAGATGATGCCAATATAATTGTTTTTCAAACTAGGTCATCCTTATCTATTTTTTACTTGTTTACATATTGTAGCTGCTGTGTCCCTGCAAGAAAATGTTGCAAAAAGGAATGTAAAGGTAAGATCAACATTACAAAAGGCTTATGATGCAACTCGATCAGTTTTGTCATCACAAATAATTTGTAATATATTTTATTAGAGAAATGAAGACCCGTGGATTTATTCTACTGTCGTCTTCACCGTGATGGAAACTGGCCCCGGGGTCTATACTGCTGCCAAGGCTTTTTTATCTGAGGAAAATGTGGAGTCAGCGATTCTCAAGAAAGATTGTTGATATTTGATCTTAAAACAAATGTCCCCCTTCGTATTTACCCTGCCTCTTGCTCCCACTGCCTTTCTCTTTACACATCCATGGCCCTCCTCTCCCCTGTCCTCTGCACATAAAACGCCCTGATGCTGATTGGCTGGATCACAACCACCTCTTCTTTTAGCATAGGCACATAATGCGGTCAGCTAGCATTTGCTAATAGTACATTGGATTTAAATCTTAGACGGCACCTTTTAACTGGACTGTATTAGATGTCTTTGTACCAAATGTGATATAATGTTAATGTGTTTAAGTTTAAAGCTGTTATAACATGTTGGAATTAGCTTGCATTATTCATACAATGTTTGTTTGATGTTTGTTTTTCTAATGTTTAAGTGATAAGAAAATGCATTTTGTTCCATTTTTGTAAATTGAACTTTTTTGTCAAACACACAGATATTAGTGAATGCCTGTCAAACATCTATGCTGTCGTCACACTGATTCAATGCCGCCATACACCCTTTGTCTTTATCAACTTGGTAGAGGAAAGCAGGAAAAGTCTATTTTCTCTCTCTTTTCTGCTCATCTCCGTACCCTACACCAGGGGGCATTAAAAGGTATTTTTTTGTTTTTGTTTTAAACCCACATTTGCTGCTGGGTGATGATTATTAAGGGGACACATTTTCAATCATTTGCATCCACAAGAACAATGCACAATAATAAAATGAATAGCTTATATTAGATGCAGCATCGTTTTTTTTGCTGAACATTGATTACCCGCATATTCTCTCCGGGTGTTTGAAAAGTGTATTATTTTCAACTTGAGCCTTTCTCAGTCGCCTCCTCATGCCTGTCCAATTTAAGCTATCATCCTCTGATAGGATAGGTGGTTGTATTTTCAAAAATGCACCTTTATTCAGACTACGGGATTGATATGTATTGATTCTTTGATCCCTAGTTCTTTGTCTTATATGGTTAATTAACAACAGCAAAACCATCTATTGAGACACTGTTAGTATATGTAATGGAAGTGATGTGAACAATATAAAGATTATGACTAATTTGTTTGTATATTGTGTTATTTAAGCATTATGCACATTAAAACACATACACAGAAGAAACATATTTCCTGTTTGTATGATGCTATTCCACAGGTCAATGGTTGGTAACGGTAGTGTTATGCTGTAATTGTGCTTGGTTGTAATCGCTGACATTTATGATGTTAAAAAGATACTGAGTTTTTCTTTTTGTTGCTGTGAACCATGACTCTTTAAATTATTCAGTAACTGTTATTTTTCCAAGAATGACAGTGAAGACAAGAGACTTCTAGTAAAATATTTAGCCTTCGGTCTCCAAAACTGGACATTAAAAAGGAGAACGTCGACCATCTTCAACCACAGCCAAAGAGATCAGGTGTGAATCCTGTGCATTGAGAGGAAATGTGACGAAACTACACAAAAAAAAAAACATGATTCTGTCAATCCTGCATTATTGTGCAATGGATCAGGTCTAAAGATTTGTTTCTACAACAGACATTTTGACTCTTCTAGGACAAGGCCATGCCAGATATTATTTAAAAATCCAATAAATAGTTACACCTTTGTTAACCAAGTTGAATTGTCCACTGACAAAGAGGTAGTATCATGCATTTTATACATCACATATATTATCTTATATTTTGTATATGTGCACTTTGAGACACTTATGACAATATGTTATGGACACAATCTTTCTTTCAATCTTTCAGATCTCACACCCCTTTGTAAAGACCTTCTGCGTCAGAACACGAAGCAAAGCCACATGCAGCAGCTACACTGAGAGTCATGCGTTGTGGTGGGCCATCTCTCCACCCTTTGACCAAGCATCAATTCCTTTACTCAGAACAGACCCGACTCTGGGCCTCAACAGGATGTGAAGCGAGAAGAGACGCTTCAGAAGCTTTATTCTTTAAGTTTGACTTGTTCATTTGCTCATTCAAAATAAAAAAGTATATGTTTCAGATGCAACAAAAAGCATCTACAACCATTTGCAATTACAATATTAACATATCGTATATGGATATTTCATTAATTCACCACATTCAACAGGCTGTCTGTTCGTCAACAACTGACTTTAGCAAGGCTGTTGCCAAACAGAGACATTTTGGGGATAATCAGACAAAGTTAACTTAGATAACAGTTCAAACTCCTGCTTTGATTAGACCTGAGTGGGTTCAGTGAATGATTGGCACCTCCCCTCTCTGACTGGGACTACAGATAAAAGGCATCAACTCGCAGTAAGGTGAAATGAAAAGGGTTATCACATGGGGTGATGAGTGTATCACCCCATGTGCCAACAAAAAAAAAAAAAAAAAAGTTAAATCAGCAGTGTAAGGCCAGCTTCCTGAGGTTTATAGAATGATAAAGGTACACGCGCCCCTTTGTATTCACACCTCAGTGTGAAGCCCAACCACAGCCGTGCTGAAGTTTCCATGCATCATCTGGTTGTCAGTGTGAAACATTTATATCTGATAACATGCCTTGCACTTTCACACAAACAGTCAGATATAAATGCTTCACAATCAACAATTGTTGACCCTGAAGAAAGCCACAAACCACAACATGCTGCTCGGACAGATGTTCTGGACATAGATAAGTTGCTAAGTTTCTAATTGTATTCTCTATACACCTTGTTGTCACGAAACTCTAACTCTTTCTTCTTGGTAAACAATGATGCCAGAGTGCGGGGAGTTTTACTGGACTGCATTATATTGTTAGGTGTTCCTACTAACAACGGGTCAATAGTATAAGAGTGCACGTATAATAATGACCCAGGATTGTTTTATGTTAATCGCTTTGTAAATAGCCATCAGTTTTTTGTTTCCTTGGTTTCTTCCCTCAGATAAAAATATGCAGGTCAGAAATTGTGTCAGGATGAATGTGTTCCTGTGATAATCTGAGGCTGTTGATCTGCTGCTTCCTCTAACAAGCTCTCTGCAAAGTGTGTATGTGTCAAGGATGGGTGGTTTGACAGCCCTCCTCTGCACGCTGTGCTCTTCCTGCTGAAGTGACAGGCAGAGGGGGCGGGTCATCAGAAATTACGTGGAGGTTAGATTGGCTGGCTTGCACAGTGTTTAACATGGCTGCTCTGTGTTTTCACTATGGCAAATGGCAGGTTATATTTTCTGTGTACACAAATCAAAAAATATAAATAAATGCATTTCTAATTCAGCTGCAACAACAATGTGGTAGGATTAGACCTAAGAGACGTATATAGGCTGTTGTTTGTTGTTTGCTTGTTGCATTACAAGCAATGCATTTATATTGAAATGTTAATGGTGCCAGATTTTCAAGCTAATATTTATTTGATGTAAATTAATTGAAAATCTTCAGTTTGTTGAACCATTTGCCTTTTACAAACGATGGCAGAAAGCACACTTTTTAATAGGGATGCTCCGATCGCCAATTTTGGGGCCGATCACCGATCGCCGGAATCAGTATCGGCCGATACCGATCGCCGATCCGATCGAGTGGGCGGGGCCTAAATGGAAGATTAAAACATCACTTTAAATCTTCCATTTAAAGTGATGTTTAAAACTCAGTTAATGGGGCTCATTCACTGGAGCTTCCACAAACAACAATAAACTTAATTATTACATTCAAATTATGTATATTATTCAAGTTTACATTCACTTTGGATAATACCACGGGAGAAATGAGCGGAAGCGCTCTCTTTTCCTCTCTCTCCCTCTCTCTCTCCCCCTCTCTCCCCCTCTCTCTCCCCCTCTCTCCCTCTTCTGACAGCCCGTCAGTATCGTCTCATGCAGCTCGCTGATCCAGTAATGTGTGAGGCCGACAGAGAAGAATAAACATATTTATAACTAGTTTAGCTTGTTCCAGAGGTAGATAAAATAGCTAAGTTTGTTAGGTCTAACTCTTAGTGTGTGTTTCGCTCCGCTCACCGGTCCGTCACAGCGGGTGGAGCTGCAGGATATCTGCTTCACACACACGTTGCATACCGCTATTTTACTGTCTTTTTCGGACACCTTAAAATAATGCCAGACCGGTGAAGCCATTTTGGCGAGCTTGTTTTGCCGCGTACAGAGAAAAGTGTCATGTATTTTACGTCATGCGATCGGCCCTCGCGATCGGCATGTTTAGAGAGCACCGATCGATCGGTAGAGAGTGAGTATCGGCAGATCTCGATCGGTGACCGATCGATCGGAGCATCCCTACTTTTTAATCATATCCCACAGAGGAATACATGTAATGCAGTAAAGGGGGGCGAAAATTGTTGATGGTGTGAATAACACATAAATAAACTTTGATCGATAAAAATCGTCAGCTAAATGAAATGTAATGTTATGACGTTTACAAATTGGACCATGTTTCTTAAAATACGCAATATGTCTCTGATCTGACCATCAACATTTACTACTGGAATGTTGAAATGTTTGGTGTTTTGTAAAATGTCAACTAATGGTCCATGGGAAAGGATAAATTATGTGAAAAATATGCAGTGCATTCGCTTAGCCTTCAATATGCCGACAAGGAGCGCCAACATTCATTGTTCATGTGAGTAAACTGCTCTGTTTTTGTCAAACACAACTTCCTACACAATCGTTTTTTTAATATATAGCATCAGAAAACCTCTTTGTAAATCTTTAGGTTGTTTTTCATACACAAGCAGAAAAATAAAGCAGCTTCACTGACAGACAGGGTCATTTCTCCACCCTTTGGCCATCAAGGCTGTCTACTCAGAACTAACCATAGGATTCAAAATGATATGCAGTGAAGGGATAGTTGCAAGGAAATACATTTTGTATTGTTTTTCAACCTGCTTAGTGAATGTAAAAATACTATATGTATGTGCAATTTTAAAATATTGCAGATGAACATGTAGGCAATATCATTAATGTGGAGAGGCTGCCAATCCAATAGTGCTCTAAGTCTAAGTGATG